TAGCCAATGCCCTGAAGTGTTTGATCAAGGTCGCAGTTATACAACCGTTATGTCCATTCTATTAAGTGACAGAACATGAGTTCCTAGAAAATACAAACCAGCAGCTAGCATACGTGGGTGGAACCGAATCTGATGGTTGACGGCTAGATACGATCTGAGGTATAAAGTTTAGTATTTTGCGGTAAACTTTTACTTCATCTTGTGTACTGTCAATAGACATCAGGATACAGTAATACTTTCCAGCCCTGGAAATATGAAGCAAAGCGTGACTGGTGCGCCTAAATTTCGCAAGTAAACGCTGTTTGTTTTCGCTAGTACACGAACTCGGCGAACAGCCATATATGAAGTATATACCAGGTGACTTTGCTACATGCCGCTATCCTAATTACGGATAACCATTTGTAATCATTTTTCTATATATCTGAGATTAAATAAGCCAGAAAGCTTTGCTTGCGAATACAGAAGACTGTATATGCTTCAAGATTTCTCCAGTCTAAATCGAACTGGTCTGATGTTGCTGTCAACAGAAACTGCTATTGAAACTGAGGCTAGTTCACTTACAATTTAGAGAATGAACAAGTAACTTGGACCTACATAAAGTTCTCCTTTGGCTGTCGACAGGGTGTTCGGTGGAACTGGGCGCTATGAAGTAAACAAGAATAGATCCGAAAAGGCAAACATAAGACATCAATTATGATTACAGGTGAAGTTCACGCAAATGTTTGTTCGATCTTTCAAAATCATATTGTCATAAAAGCACCACCTGTTTTGAACTTGAGATTGTCGGGTGTAACTTCGATAAAGCATCTTTCTTATGCACAGATATTCTTAATCAATGATCTCTTATTTGTTCTGAGATTTCAGGCTAATTCACAACAACTTCACATTGAATTTGCGAGACATTAGTACTAGCTATACCTCTTTGACCTGTGCCGAATATGGAGCAGCTTCAAATTTAATTAGACACATACCCAATAATATTATTATAAACTTGATCAATTTGGAGGACCATAACTGATGCAAATTATCAGAGAGAATGCGGTCTGTCTTTATGCAAGTTCGGTTATCTTGACATGCGCATGGACATTAGGACAGAAATGCTAGGACTATTGTAGAAGCTATAGGCTGTTGCTAATTTTTGGGACATTTAGAGAAGCTATGTGCTATGCAGAATTAAAAAGTAATTGAGTCTGGTCATGATACAACCAGCGGTATACTTCATATGATGACGGCAGTTATACTTCGTTTGTTTAGATCAAGGATTAGTTAGGCGTACCTGTTGTATTATCGAAAAAGTTAGAGTTCGCATCACCTGTAGGGACACAAGGATAACATTAATCAAGTATAACGCAAACGTGAAGTATTTTAAAGATGAAAATAGGCTGTCACATTGGAAAAGTATAACAGTTGTCCAAATCTATTCTGACTAACATTTTGCTTTATTTCCTTCTACGAAGTGACCCATGCACGACATCGATACTGAAAGCAAACATTTCATGGAACTGCTCCTGAACCTAAATAATAGAAGCATATCCACGTGCAGTATTGAAATGCTACTGTGTAGTGGCATTCATAACTTTAGAGCTCAAGAACAATCTTTTACCATCGTAAGTACCTGCAAGACAGTGTAGCTTTGGTTGCGTTATATCCCAGTTACCTGACAAGTACAGATGACCTGCAAATATTCTCCATGTCTCAGTGGCATAAGCTGCTGGTTAGTTGGCATCAGCTGCTGGATGTCATGTGTCCGATCCCAAACAGTGTACCGCGTCGTTGCCACCACGGATGAGCCCAATACGGCAAAATGATTGTCCGGTGCTTTCCCCGATATGGCTATTACAAGCTGCCTTGTGTGCAGCTATGATAAGCCAGTAATATTGCAACAAGCTGCTAATATCATTGGAGCAAAGTACGAAAGTTCAAATAAATGATTAGGATGTTTCCCAATATGTGACTACACGAAGCCTACACTATCCTATCCTTCAGAGTACTGCTCACTACCTTCACTTGCGTCTAAAAATGGCAATGGCAGAATTATCTCCAGAACTTGAAGTAATGTGCAACTTTGCTTGTTTGAAAAATTTTCAAGATATCCCATCACGTTATGTGTGTCTCGTTGTAACAATTTATCCACGGATAACCAGTGCTAGGCTTTTGTCTACTGTGAAATTCCACCACAGTAGAAACTGTGTGTCTGCTATGAATTCTCTGACCGATTCGAAAGCATTTGCAGACCAGTTAAAGCAATGCTTTTACGTGTAATTAAGATACCTACCGCTCCTTGGTAAACCGTCAAATTTAGTTGAGCTTTTTGAGCTTTGGTCAGTGACGCCCGCTACGAAGGGAATATATGTAGAGGATATAGGTATGTCAAAAGGAGAGAAGATATCGGGTAAAGCTAGTGAAAATATGCTTAGTTGTGGTAAAACTTGGCGCAGTATTACCTGTTTGTCAAACGCCGTGTTCTATTGATGCACATTGAGATTAACCACACATCTTGGATCTGTTCCACAGGAACATAATCAGACAAATGCTGTTCCGAAAATACAGGAACTATCTGCGACATGTCATTATGCGACTTGCTGAATTTCGTTAAAAAGTACGCATTCCCATTTGTCACAAATAAATTAGTCTAACTCAATCAAACCGTTAGAGTAATATATTAGTATTCCAGCATATAACTTTTGCACACGGCGCGTGCACATCCTTTCAAATGCAATCTTATCGCTAGTGCAACGTTATATTTGATATTTCTTGTTTATCTCGAGCCTTCTCGTCATCAAGTTAATGTCCAATAAAACTGTTTTCTCTAAATATATCTTCAAATACTTTATTTTTCAGGACTAAATGAAATATATGAACAGGCCACGTTCATATATTTGGAAGGCCTATTATCCTATTTCCGGCAATTAATTTAGGTCACATATTAGTTTGGAGTAGTTTGGAGGTACATACCGTAATGAAAAACGCCGGGAATCTTAAAATCTCGTTCAAGGGTTTAAGAAGAACAAGCAATACATAACATTTATTGATCACGACATTTGTCATGAAGCGTAAACCGATAATATAAAATAATATATACATAAAAATATAATGATTTAACGCAGCAGACACACAGTTCGTAACATTTTCTATTGGGATTAAAAAGCTTAGAGATGAAAATGTTTTATCCTAATTTCTTCTGAATAAATGTCATTTTCTTCACAAATACAATTGTAGTTATATATCTGTGCAATGTTTATTAGAATGCTCAGATCCGAAAAACAATTATTGCTGTCCCGTAGTGCAGGACAATTTAATATGCTTCCACATTCCAAACAAGTAAAAAAGCGCTTCTAGAAAGCATATAAGGCACATAAAAGAATTCGAGGCGTGAATAAAACACGTTCCAATTTTGCGTACTTGTGGCTGTAATGAACAATTGCAGTCAACAAATTTATCAAAAACAACCTGTTCAATTTTGGTTTAACTTTGCGCCCAGCATATAACATGATAAGAACAGACTCAAAACTCATTCCTTGTTATATATAATTTAGAGCGCAACGAAAAAGCAATAAGAAAATGCTACATCTGATACTCAATCCAAAGGCCAGTTGCGCACTCTGTAGGAGGTAAAACTCGGGCTTGAAAGCAACATACTCTGGTTGATTAAAGGTAGATACTACTGCGCCGGGTATAATTAGTTTGGTGGTGCAAGATGACACACCAACAGCGAGCCCTGCCGAATTCCACAAAGTTGAAGATGACATCAGGATTACAGTTCCATGCACACGAGGAGTGACCACAGAGTCAAGCACCAGTTGGGAAACACTCCATGAAGATCAACAAGATGAGCGGACGCCACCAAGTTATGAACGAACACACCTAGTGTAAGCCACTTTAGCAATAAACAAGTTACAGCCTGCCCTTATTTAATTGTTCTTTCTCCCAACGTGTAAATGAATTAGCCTCAGTTTTCAATAGCAGTTTCTGTTGACAACAACATCAGACCAGTTCGATTTAGACTAGAGAAAGCTTGAAGAAAATACAGTCTTCTGTATTCGCAAGCGAAGCTTTTTGACTTATTCACTATCAGATATATAGAACAAGGATTACACCTGGTTATCCGTAATTATAATAGCGGCATGTAGCAAAATCTCCTGGTATGTTATTCCTATATGATTGCTCGCCGAGTTCTTGTACTAGTGGAAACCACCAGAGATTACTTGCCAAATTTGTGACGCACCAGACAAGCTTAGCTTCATATTGACCAGGGCTAGAAATTATTACTCTATTCTGACGTCTATTGAGAGTACACAACATGAAGTAAAAGTTTATGGCGAAATATTAGGCTGTTTACCTTAGATCGTATCTAGCCGTCAAACATCAGATTCGGTTCCACCGCGGTATGCTAGCTGCTGCTTTGTATTTTCTAGGAACTCATGTTCTGTCACTTAATAGAATGGACATAACGGTTGTATAACTGCCACCTTGACCAAACAATTCAGGGCATTGGCTACACCATTAATGCGGATATTCGGAACGCAGTTTGAGTAGGCCATTGCGATGCTACTGGTGTGCATAAATCGATTTGCTAGATTTCTCGGGTTGCGCTTTAAGCGCGAATTATATCGAAAGCGTTTTACTACGTTTGTCTCAACGAGCATTTGGTGGCAGACGTTGTTTTGAAGATCGAAGGGGTAACAATGCTGTTCGAGGCAAACGATTGAACCTGATGGAATTATTGATTTGAGTAACTCCGAAGTATGTTTAGTAATGAGAAAAGAAGACAGGGACGTCTTTCTCTTGTTTGTTACCAATTGATGATCTGCCATGAGAGGGATCAAGCCAGTTTGGTCGCTTGAAATTCACATTTGTCTTGACCGTGTACAAACACTTCAGTTTATGTTGACCAGTGATACTAATGAAAGTCCAAAACTATCCTTGTACAACACAAACCACAACTGTGGTTGATGCGCATGGTTGACATATTCTGCTACCACTTTTTGTTCTATTCTCAGTACCCGAAAGAACCTTAATCGACTTTACTTCAGCCGATACAACAAAACAGCCTATAAACAGGTCAACGGGTGAGTTGCATGAAAACGCATGGTATAATTTTCCTTACAATAACTTTTGGTGTTTGCCTGTTACCGTTCTAAGTGTCTACTGATATTACAGGACGTACAAAATCGATGGTGGTACTTACTTTAAATTGTCAAATAATGATTACATTTATGGCCAAGTCAACACTAAATCTTTCTTACAAACGTGTGACCAGGCTTGCTCAAGACGCCGAAAAGAATAACTTTAAACTCGGACTCGTTTTTTGCGTTCTATCATTCATAAACTTAAAAGTTTCATCGTACGTAAATCGCCGGTTCGCATACTGTATCTCTCGTCACGACTTACATAAAATTGCTCACAAGAAATAGGTGCTTAACTCATGTCTGGTGGGAGCATGGCGTGAGCGATGAGCTTGTTTGCCGTTGCGTATTTGTTGCAGGAATAGCGAGTGAACCGCTCAGCACCATTATATCGCGCACCAGACTCCGATGTTTGGGCCATGTGTTGGGCATGCCAGCACATCGACTATCGGGACGTGCTTTGTTTGCGCACCTGAAGAGCGTTTGGAAGAGGAAGAGGTAAGGCCAACCGATGAGTTGGTCATATAAATGCAAACATTCGCTGCCAAATTGGCCTCGGTTGGTGCATCCAAATGAGGATGAGAACGTTTGGTTGGACACACATACTGATATGTCTAGGAGCCGGCCCCAATGGCATCTGTTTTGTGCTTTCCTTCGTCCATTCCCCTCCAGCTTAGCCGCCTCCTCTAACAACGATGTCATTCGTTAGGCATGAAGTAACTCTTTACAGCACGATAGGCGGCTGTTAGCTCTCCTGAACCATGACCATCCGTTACTGGGGAATCAACCACCGTGCCTCTCTTGTTGTTTTCTCCTTGTATGTTGCAGTTCGGCCCAATATCAGTTTTTTCCACCTGCAGCTAACCTGTATGATGACGATAATGATGATGCGAGTAAATGATTGCAGTTCGGCTATCATTTTTGGTTACACACATGATTTGTGTTTCCTTTATAACTAACTTGCCTAAAACTGTATAATTCTTACGCATACTCGCTCATTAAACTATAACTTGTAAAGGAGCGTGGTCTGGACGCTTCAGACTAAACGCGACAGGAAGCATGTCATTCGGTACGGCTGTCTTTCCATTCAAATCTAGTATGCGGTTGTTGTCACCTCTGTATTACGTCAGGTTAATTCTTGAAATGCACTAATATATGACTAACCTTTCAAAACCACCATTTTATTTCAATTCGCACAGAAGAAAGTAGTTTTATCTCAAATATTTACCGCTAATCTTCGTAAAACTCGATCCTTCGACCATGTTAAGACCGCGATCGAAAATGAAATATTGAGCATGTTTCAGAGGAAACAGCATATGCGCGCCTCAGTAGTGTTCCAACTTATGTTTCGTTTGTTTTCCCAATGGCTTCTTGTTGTTGTTCTATGTTGATATTTATGTACATATACATACATTTGTTTCTATTTTGACCTACATTTATGTAGGCAGCATAATCACTGTGCCACAAGCTGGGGACCATGTTGCATTCATAATGCTTTTTCACCTCTTTTGGGCTAAACCAACTTAATCTTAAATCAGTTTATTAATCTGAATAACAGTCATACAACATTTATTTGTTTTGCATTTCTGTTATTCCGCTGCATTTTCGGTGCCAATTATGTCTGCTCGCTTTCATTTATATAACGTTGGTTTTTTGATATCCACGGTGTGACTGCGCTTGATGTGATTGTTGACAAGGAACCTACCCGTCTTACAAACTTTACTTATTTGCTTCAGGAGACTGAGTCTTTGTTGAGGGGGACAAGGTACACGGTCCGCATGGCCGTGCAAGCCTCGAAGATAGGTTCCGTCCAGCGATCCACGGCGCAGCCTCCACCATGTTAACGTCTGGTATACATGATAACCTACATAGATAGAGAGAAACGCTGCTGCTGTGCTTTTTGGAGGAGTGTGGGTCGGTTCCGTTGAGAAAACGTGGCTCCCATCCACAAGCCTCCTGGTCTTGTTCATATTCATCACTAGTACAATGAATCCTAACATAGCAGCTGCTGATGCTTTAATCAAACTTTTCAAATACCTGCTGAGTTGGGGGTATTTTGAGACACTTGATATCCAAGACATCGTCTCATCAGATGCCTAGCCCATCCGTCTTGCAGCTATGCCGCGCCTGCTTAGTGGCTCTATTATATAATTTACCAGAACGTTTGGTTAGTAGGTAGTTGTGATTGTCATTGCTAAGTCTATTCACAAAATAAGTATATTGCGCAAAAGAAATTATAGTGAATTAAACTGTACTCCATATGTCCACCCACAGAAAATAGCACAAGGCAAATAATAAATCTACGTCAACCTAAAATTACTCGTTGCTGGGTTCTTGCACAGAAATGCTGCTGCAATTGATAACTTGAGCGGGTTCTTGCATAAAAGGTCAAGTGAATTGGCTAGTTATAGTGCTTTAACCTCACGAGACTGCTATCCAAATAGTTAACTTATACTGCACTTATTCTGGACATGGAAATACAGCCGAATATAAGTGTCGTCAACATACTACATAAGCAAGCAAGCTACCATTTGGGAATAACTCAAAAATATTAATCTAAAACGTGAAAAGCATATCGTAAATGATTTGCAAGCATAGAACGTAGTTACTTTTCAGAAAAATATTGTAACATTTAAGATTTTAAATTTATTCAGTAGAAATTTGTCAAATAATTATCTTACTTGAGCCGCAGCCATCATCATCATCATCAACAGCAGTACCTCAGCCATTCGAACTGATGCTTCGCTGCCATACAAATATGAGGACCTATGAAATAATGAATAACTAGATGGAGAGTAGGGGCTTACCTGAAAACATCAATGCCCTAAACAAACATTCAGATTCAAGGCGCCTACACCTTGTTCAGACAACATACAGTCACAAACAGCTGGTTATCGTGCTAAGATAAGGCGGCATCGGCGAGACAGCCTCCTTGCGGCTTTCACTACCACGCGTCATAATCAGCCATTTTCCAGCAGATAACTCAGCACCAAACACACTTTAAACAGGCAATCCGATTAGGAGACGGCAGCAGACGTGTTACTGGTATCGATTACGGGCTATGTCTTGTTAGGTTTTGAGCCAAGCGAGTCACGTGGTCTTCAGCCCGAAAGGCGAGACGGAAAACGGCACCCAATTTGGTAGCCAATGAATTCATTTCCTGCTGCTAACTCAGCTTCTGTGCACCACGAGCCTTGCGCAACCCTACTTCTAGCAGCTTATACAAGGCGCACCTAGGTATGTAGTGACCAGGCATACGTAGCACCTGCCCGAGCCAACGCACCTTATTCAGTGCTATCTATTGTTCTAGGGAGCAAGCATGATTATCGCCACCTAGTACTCGCCTACACACATCATCCTTGCGGACACGCTGGTGTCATCCGACACCAGCAATGCTTCGCAGACAACGATGATTAAGGATTGATGGCGCTTTAGATCATCAGACCGAAGGGGCAAAGTCTCACTACCATTCCAATGTTGGCGGTGTATCATTTTGCTTTCTTAAATTATTAATGTTGCCACATTCAAGAAAACACGACCCGCTCATTCAACATACATTACGTAATCGCTATTGACTAAATAGTTGCCGCCAACTGATACCACTTACGACTTCTGCATATCATAATGGCAAATTATGTGCCGTACGTTTACTTTGGGCTGTGTAGACCGGGCTACTACTTTCGATTTTGGTGTACAGATAAAACATTGTCTAAGCATTTATTTACAAGAATGCCGTCGTATTTCGGTACTAACTTTCTCATCAGAACCCCGCCCAATTCGCCTCTCTAACACAATCGGCCAGCTTCCTACTTGTATTGCACCTTGGAATTTCTGAGCATCCTTCTTCATTTTACTCGCTGGCACTCCGTAAATTTTCGGCACAACTAACCCTAATCATTTGCAGTCGTGCATCTGCAAAGCTCGGTACCTGGCTAAACCGAACTTGTGCAGTCGTATGTCGCTTTAAAGACCGAGCTTTCACCTCCCACAGTGCGCAACTGACCTTTGGATTGCTTATCGGATGTGGCATTTTCGTGTTAGTGGCCATGTACCCCAACTGGTGTCGTGTGCTGAGCATGCGTTTACGTACATTGTAGTCAAATTTCGATTACGCAAACCTCTATCTTGTATTAGTAAAATTATCGCGACATCGTAGTTATGCTATTACCAGCGTTGATCTAGCATCCGATTAGCCTCTGGTTGCAGCAAAGAATTGAGGAAGCTTACTCCTTCCCTCCACACAATTTTAACACAAGCGGAGGAATAATCAGTGATTAGTCACTTACCAGAAAAGAGCATTACTTGATAGACGAGGAAATAGTTTTAATTAATCCTGTCGTTTGCCTTAGTGGTATTCACCTTTATATCTCCGGACGGTGAAAGCTAACTTGCAATTTCTCTCGCTAATGAATTAATGGCGCGGCTATGAGCGTAATTCATGGTTTCATGATTGCCGGACAACGCATGTCAGAATTCTAAAGGATTTTATTAGCGCAATCAATTAACAATTACACGACAGTGACTTGAAATCTAATAGCCCCATTATGCCATTGGCATGTAATTAAAAACTAACTACAATTAGGGGATTTGTTCCGGCGTTTGGTTTCAACATACGATGCAGTACGATTAGAGGTTAATATATGCGGTTTTCTATAAATTTCAATCCCCATTATCAAGAGAGTGTTACGAATAGGATAGTGGATGCGATTGAGCATCTGAGGATAGAGCTGCGATATGCTGCGGGTCGTACGGGAGGCTATTATTAAGACCCTACCAATGGTAATTGTAAACTCCTTGTTGGGAGCAAGTTATGAACAAGATATTTTGCGAAACTGTAAAATCACCTTGCTTTTACCTGTAAATTTGTACTACAGCCTATCTCCGTCTTCTTTTGATCTAACTAGCTCAGTGCTTATATATACGTTGTTTTCGTAATATGTACGCCGGTTTCAGCATTTATTTTACAAATGGCGTCGAACGAAACGTTATTTTGTCAAGTACCAATAGGAATATAATATAAATGATTGCTTTGTTTGACACCTGAGAGATATCTGACTTTGTAGTTATTTCAACGGATCTAATATTATGCATATATATATATGAATATCAAAACTTCTAAACATTTGTGGTTTTATTTGTGAATAATTCTTATAGTATGAAGGGCTTAGTGAAGAAGACGGAATAGGAGGATAGGAATATTAAAGGTTTACTGTGATATTCCGATGGGAATGCGTTGCGCAAGCACAGGTATCATGCAGTACCCTCGAGAATGGAGTTGAGGTAAATCTTTGTAAGAAGGCAACCTATACTGTTGGATTTTATATAATTATTAGTATCCGTTGTCAATATATGAACGGCGATAATTTTCACCGTGAAGATAGATAGAATAGCAACTTAGAAAATTTAGCTTTTGTCGCAAGTAATCGCAGATAGCAGCTTACTGACATTTAGGCAGTCGGAATTAGCCTGAAATCTCAGACCAAAGAGAAGAACATAGATTAACAACATCTGTGCACGAGAAAGAAGCTTCCTCGAAATTACACCCGACATTCTCAAGTACGGAAGAGCTGCACACCTTCCACACTGGTGGTGTTTTGATTTAACTTGAATGCAAAAGATCAAACATAAATTTGCGTGTACTTCACCTGTAATCATAATTGATGTCTTATGTTAGCCTTTTCGGATCTACTCTTGTTTACTTCATAGCGCCCAGTGCCACCGAGCACCCTGTCGACAGCCAAAGGAGAACCTTATGTAGGTCCTACATAATTGTTCTTTCTCCCAACGTGTAAATGAATTAGCCTCAGTTTTCAATAGCAGTTTCTGTTGACCACAACATCAGACCAGTTCGATTTAGACTAGAGAAAGCTTGAAGAAAATACAGTCTTCTGTATTCGCAAGCGAAGCTTTTTGACTTAAATACTGTCAGATATATAGAACAAGGATTACACCTGGTTATCCGTAATTATAATAGCGGCATGTAGCAAAATCTCCTGATATCTAATTCCTAGATGGCTGCTCGCCGAGTTCTTGTATTGGTGAAAACCACCAGAGATTACTTGCCAAATTTGTGACGCACCAGACAAGCTTAGCTTCATATTGACCAGGCCTATCAATTATTACTCTATTCTGACGTCTATTGAGAGTACACAATATGAAGTAAAAGTTTATGGCAAAATATTAGGCTGTTTACCTTGGATCGTATCTAGCCGTCAAACATCAGATTCGGTTCCACCGCGGTATGCTAGCTGCTGCTTTGTATTTTCTAGGAACTCATGTTCTGTCACTTAATAGAGTGGACATAACGGTTGTATAGCTGCGACCTTGATCAAAAGCCTCAGTGAATTGGCTACACAATTAATGCGGATGTTCGGAACGCAGTTTGAGTAGGCCATTGCGATGCTACTGGTGTGCATAAATCGATTTGCTAGATTTCTCGGGTTGCGCTTTAAGCGCGAATTATATCGAAAGCGTTTTACTACGTTTGTCTCAACGAGCATTTGGTGGCAGACGTTGTTTTGAAGATCGAAGGGGTAACAATGCTGTTCGAGGCAAACGATTGAATCTGATGGAATTATTGATTTGAGTAACTCCGAAGTATTTTTAGTAATGAGAAAAGAAGACAGGGACGTCTTTCTCTTGTTTGTTGCCAATTGATGATCTGCCATGAGAGGGATCAAGCCAGTTTGGTCGCTTGAAATTCACATTTGTCTTGACCGTGTAAAAACACTTCAGTTTATGTTGACCAGTGATACTAATGAAAGTCCAAAACTATCCTTGTACAACACAAACCACAACTGTGGTTGATGCGCATGGTTGACATATTCTGCTACCACTTTTTGTTCTATTCTCAGTACCCGAAAGAACCTTAATCGACTTTACTTCAGCCGATACAACAAAACAGCCTATAAACAGGTCAACGGGTGAGTTGCATGAAAACGCATAGTATAATTTTCCTTACAATAACTTTTGGTGTTTGCCTGTTACCGTTCTAAGTGTCTGCTGATATTACAGGACGTACAAAATCGATGGTGGTACTTACTTTAAATTGTCAAATAATGATTACATTTATGACCAAGTCAACAGTAACTCTTTCTTACAAACGTGTGACCAGGCTTGCTCAAGACGCCGAAAAGAATAACTTTAAACTCGGACTCGCTTCCTGCGTACCATCATTCATAAATTAAAAATTTTCATCCTAGGTAAATCGCCGGTTCGCACACTGTATCTCTCGTCACGACTTACATAAAATTGCTCACAAGAAATAGGTGCTTAACTCATGTCTGGTGGGAGCATGGCGTGAGCAATGAGCTTGTTTGCCGTCGCGTATTTGTTGCAGGAATAGCGAGTGAACCGCTCAGCACCATTATATCGCGCACCAGACTCCGATGTTTGGGCCATGTGTTGGGCATGCCAGCACATCGACTATTGCGAGGTGCATTGTCTGCGCACCTGAAGTGCGGTTGGAAGAGGAAGAGGTAAGGCCAAACGATGAATTGGTCATATAAATGCAAACATTCGCTGCCAAATTGGCCTCGGTTGGTGCATCCAAATGAGGATGAGAACGTTTGGTTGGACACACATACTGATATGTCTAGGAGCTCAAAGAGACCTTGTCTTTGTTTAAGAGTTCAATTACACGGTACGCATGGCCGTGCAATCCTCGAAGATAGGTTCCGTCCAACGATCCACGGCGCATCCTTCACTATGTTTTGTCTGGTATGCATGATAATCTACATCGATTTAGAGAAATTTTGCTGCTGTGTTGTTGGAAGAGTGTGAGTCGGTTCCGATGCTAAAGCGTGGCTCCCGTCCACAAGCCTCTTGGTCTTGGTTATAATTATCACAAGAGAAATGAATGCTAACATAGCAGCTGCGGATGTTTTAATCAAATTTTTAAATACCTGCTGAGTTGGGGGTATTTTGTGAACTTTATATCCAAGATGTCGTCTCATCAGATGCTTAGCCCATACGTCTTGCAGCTATGCCGCGCCTGCTTAGTGGCTCTATTATATAATTTATCAGAACGTTTAGCTAGTAGGTTGTTGTGGTTGTCACTGCTAACTCTACTCACATAATAAGTATATTGCGCACAAGAAATTATAGGGAATTAACCTGTAGAATTTTCCTGTAGAATTAACCTGTAGAAAATAGCACTAGGCAAATACTAATTCTACGTCAGCCTAAAAATATTTGTTGCTGGATTCTTGCACAGAAATGCTGCTGCAATCGATAACTTGAGCAGGTTCTTACATAAAATATCAAGTGAATTGGCTTTTGCGCTTAAGCAAACGAATTTAAGGAGATTAGCTTCAGGGTCGGTTTTTATTTCTTACCGAATTTTTGGGATCTGATTATGTCATTCTCTCAACTTACATTCTTTTATTATTTCTCCAATGTTAACATGCTCTTCCTTAATATGTATCGGTACCTTTGGACAACGTTATATTTATCGTACTGGCTGCAGATAATTAAGTAAATTAAGGTCATGTTTAACATATCTCGTTCCCCGAGAGCTTAATTTTTCACGCAATCTTACATACAACAATTGTTTAAATAATTGTGGGCTATTGCCGTGATTCTCCGCTGTGTGCTTACTTAAGAGCGTCGGAGCAATCGAAAATAGCTGATCGTATTTTGGGGGCGGTACTATCTGCAATACTGGTTGCTGGGGATGCATGTTATTACTACGTTGTTACGGCTTGACAAGGGTTTAATGAAGGTTTATTGATTTAGGGGAACTGAAAACTGTGGTGCATTATTTTACGATGTATGCGAGGGTGTTTGTTTTAGTGCGCGGGTGCAGTTTCGGTTTTGCTGCAATGGCTGTGGACGATGCTGTTGCGTTCCGCGCTGCTTTTTGCCAATATTATAAGGCGTTTGGTGAACTTGAGGAAGATTTGAGGCGTTTTCAACTTAGACAGCAACGAGTTTTTACAAATATGACGTCTTGACGGCTATGTCGTATAAGAAGAGGTCAGGTCAGGAGCTACCCGACGGGATGCGGTACAAATGGGTGCAGTATCGTTGTGTCCATTGCATCCGGAAAGGAGAAGGTGGCAGTCGGTATGTGCAAACGTTGTGTTATGTGTTATTCATGTTGCATAGGTATGTCAGCCTCGGTTGTAACGCGAGCATATCTATCAGTGCTAAGGGCATTTGCTATAAGATAAGCTGGTATTGTCTGGTGCATACTCATAACTTTTACTTGGGGAATCCAAGTTTGTTCGTGGGTAACCATCATCTGACTCCCGAGGCGGAGCGGCAGGTGTTCGATTAATTGCAATCCTTCTGTAATACCGGAGAACTGCGAGGCTATGTCTTGGAAAGATATAACAAACGATTGAATAGACAGGACATATTTTTCATCCGCCGTCGCTTAGGTGGGGTATCTAAGGGGAATGAGGTAAACGTGGTAGCGGAATTGTTGAGTAATAATGGCGCTGTGCGTGTTGAAAGAGATGGGTCGCATTTTCGATTCGTATTTCTCGTTCCTGCTTCAATGACTTCCATAGCGGTGAAATACGGGGACGTACTGCTTGCGAACGCTACGCATCAGTTAAACTGCGGTGGTTATGTTCTTTTGCGCTGCATTGTGTTGGACGGTTTCGGCGTAGGTCGCAGCGTGTTTTAAGCTTTAATGCCCAACGATACGGCAGGCAGTTTGGAGGTTGCTCGGGGCATGTCGGAAATGTTGTTCACCACCTTGTTATCGAAGACTATAGTCACGGATAGGTGTCTGGCCCAAATGAAGGCATTTAAGTCGGTATATCCACGGACGGCCGTGGTATTATGCCGGTTTCATTTCCTGCGAAACGTCTCACGCAAATGCCAGCATATTGCAGTTGTCAATTAGCTCTATTGCACATTGCATCATTACCGTTAGACAATATATGAAGCAAGCAACTTATATTAATTACTGCCACCTACCTTCTTTCGGTGGCCCGATTTATGTACTGCGTAGACTGAAACACATACTCGCCTCGTTTTTCCTTTTTAGTCCTACTATAGCCATAGCAAAAGCCTTTGCAGACATGTATACCTATTTACAGTCTACCTACTAGTTATCTACCTAAATAATTTTAAAAGCGCGTTCCCCGATTAAGAAGGGTGCAACTAAACTCATTCATTTACCGCCTAAGATATAACTAGGCGTGTCAAGAAATAGATCATCTAAATGTTGGATTCGCCTTGCATACTCATCATTTTTACATCGACAAACGCTATCGCAATAGCACATCCTCTTGTACAGCATGCAAATTGCATGCAAAGGTCCTAACAATTGAGCCTGCCATTAACGTACGCCGATTACAGCATACGCATTCCTTATTGACGCCCATTATGTGCCCTGACATAACAACCCATTAAAACCGAAACTCATGCTACTCCAAAAACACAAACCAATGTTCATTAAGCATTCATTTTCATACCTTGGTCACATTACCTTCGATTTATTGTTTTCCTTTGCATTTTTTTGAGATTGATGTACGCTGTTTCGGCGGCCAGAAACTTACTTTCGCGCGACGTACCGATTCAACCTCCCTGTGCTTACTCGGACACTTATTCAAATATATGACCCAAACTTTACTTACAAGAAAACAAACAAAATAAATCTAAAATCCCAAAAAGTTTAAACATATTGTTATACTGAATAGCGTAAACAAATACCATATAACGCAATATTAGAAAAATACTTCAGAGTAAGCGGTGTGACGAATTTTCACGTAAGTTAAAGTTATCTGGCAAACTTTCAAAGTATATTTTGAGCATAAATATTCAAAAGCTTAGCATCAATGTGACATACATTTCTAGAAAATAGTAAAGCTATGAAACTAATGAGAGCAATGCGTTTAACTTGATGCGTTTCTCGATGGAGATAACTTTGAAGTTATTACGGGATTAATTTTAGCAATTAAATTAAACGGATGCAGAACAGAACTGTTTTAAACGTTAGCATGAATGGCCTAATGCGTCGCTATGTCAGGACATCAGCTATCCTTGGGTAAAATTTGTTTACATATTGCTTGCTAAACCTTAGTTTTGCACCGGTGTTAAATCAAAGCGTAGAAATAAATCTGTTTTGTAATAAATAGCAAAACATGAATAATACGCGGATGTGAATAAAATGGATCGTTTAGGCGTTTGACCGATTTATATTGGCATGTTTTTTCTCCTCATGATTTCACGGTTTAGGGCTTAGCATTTGAGTGGCTAATAGTTAGCTGCTAAACATAAACGTAATAGACAAGTTGACTGCGGAAAACTGCATATAGCTGTGTCTACAGTTTAGTAGAAATGTCCGTTGTTTAGCTGCGTCCATTTTCATGTAAAGTTTTATTTAGCATTTATCAGGACTAATCAATTTCTTCCTATTTATTTCCTAAATATGCTATATATTACGCCATCTAATTTTTGATGGCGATACCTACGTAAAACGGAGGAAATCGACTAGGAAGCTATCATACAAGACAGCCTTGTTTTTTTCAATTAGGCTAAAACGTCAAAGAGAGGAGCCAGTCAGCACTATGGCGCATCACGAAAAATGTTGGTGAAGTTAAAGCATTTTATCTGTCCACAAATGTTGAAGGCCCAGGCAAGGCCCCAGTTGGAAGACGCGATTCAGGGCCAGCGACCGTCGCGATGCACTCAGTTGCAGAGCATGATGCTCCATAGCATATGTGGACAAAAATCGTTAATAACTTTTTTATTCCCCTACCAGCGCAGTCTAAAGACTTCCGTTCGCAGACGGCGGATGTCGACGAAAAGATTTACTAACTACTGACTAATCTCAATCACGCCTGCAGCGGTCTGCTGCAAATAGGCCACAATACCAACCTGATAGGCCACATGCGCAAACTGACCGCACACGACTTTGGGTACCCAGAGCGTGGAATGCTCCTACTTCTCAGTTCACTATTGACAATATAGTAAGGCTTTTTAAAAACGACAACGAAACGCTCTCCTCTTTCCGTTAGGCTAAATAATCTGTTTCCATCTAAGGACCATTTGACACAAACAGCATTCGCGCCGACCTTCGCTGTTAAGTAGCGCATAGAGGACCATAGATGTTAATTAGTCTAATTCGGTGCGTCACCTAAAACGTGTATTTATAAATAAATAAACAAATAAATATAAATAAATATAGATATATTTCCAGAGAAGCTCTAGATGCTGCTCCTGCGTGGGATCAGATCAAATTGTACATAACATCCATGCTCATGAATGGGGAAGAAATATCGTTAACAACTGCTTTTGATCGTGTTTATCTTTCCGAACAGTAAAGCAGGGATAAATACAAACGTTTCGTAGGCCTCGACATTTTTGAAAACAGTAGTTTGGGTCTCTGTAGCTTATGTACGAATTCTGCGCTTTTCACCGGCTACCGCTGCCAAACCTGGAAGTGCCTGATTCCATTAGTAAACGATCGATCTATTATGCCAATGGATTGTGTTATTTTCGATGGAAAATGCACCACTAGAGGAGATTTGATCCATTTTCTTTGGTCACATCACCACATTTCGAGCATCCATTAGTAGCGCTCTTTATGCACTACTATACACTACAATTTGTCATAATCCCCTTCGCGTTAGCTTATGGAATATGATAATCAATGATACTGTACCCGGCATAATCCATCGTTATTCTTTCAATGAATTTGTTATTATTTGTAGTGGAGTTCAAGAAGACCAGTGAACACGGATACACCGGGAAAGGAGGTACTTTGTTTTGCGTAATCAGCAGTGCGATTCACTGCTGCGTATTCCGATTTGATGAGTATATTAATATTCATTGTACCTGGCAGGATGTGCGTGCAAGCACCTAATAAAACGACGGCGGTCAAACTTCTAGATGTCCAAAATTTTCTCCTAAATGATTGCCACTAACCGGTAACAAAGTTATTTCTTACCGAACAATAGCAAATATAATAGGATGATAATATAAATTAATTTCAACATAGCAATTGGACTGGTGAAGTGTTGTTTAAAGGCTTCTATTAATAGGTCTAAATAGTAACAACACATACCGCATAAATTCATAAAATTAGTTGCAAGGGACATGTTTTCATCTTAAACGATAGAAAACACATGTTAGCTTGCTGAGGATTGCAATGCATACTTTGCTCTTTCAGCTTATGTTTGGTGATTCACCGCCCAAGCGACGATTTGCTTATGTGTTCAGTTTCCTTTGCTTCAATCATGTATAGTTAACGGGTGTTTTGACTTTTGTACCCGGATTTATTAGTCTCGGTGTTAAGAGAGTAATTATTCAGCATAATACCAAAGCGACGCAACGTTTTGTTGGAGCACCCAAAAGCATTTCACCGGTAGGTATACACGTGGTTTTTACTTTCAGAATGCGACTGCGGTGCACCTGGCTAGACCATGTTTGTGTGCCCAATGCTAAACGTTAAAGCATGAGGTGGAGTAAGCAAAACATTAACACGCTTATTATCCGAGCCACCAATTACAACTAATTGAACACACGCATCGACGTATATTGTTACGCGACAGAAGGAGGAAAATAAATCGTTTTCGAAAATGTAAATTGTATACTGATCAAGATGCAACTTTTACTTATTTAAACTTAAAATAACTGAATTTGTTGTAATCTGTCATTTGCTGCATTTACCTATATTCCATTTTAGGACGTTTAATGCCTGCGAGCTTGTCAATGCTACTTTTGTCTGGATTGCTGCTGTCCCATTGATCTACATAAACATACTAGTGAAGAAGCATTCTGAAAATCTGTTGTACCAGTTTATTTTGCATAACACTATTAAGAATAAATTCAGTTATCGACAAATTTGTACAGTATAACTTCTTCAGCCTACTGGTAAAATCAATTACAGTGCAACCTGTCTACCTGTTATCCATTTGTAACAAATGTACAAACAGTTTTCAAGTAAATGGGTTAAGCCTACCTGCTCCGAAATTTGAATAGCAAAGCCAAACAATTGGTTAGTAAACAAAGTTAAAAATCCCGGAAACTACTGAACTAAGTGTCTCATCGTGAAAGTTATAGTTATGCGACATCAAATCATGAGTGCGTTTGGCAGCCTTACAATATGCAGAGTAGCGTTGTCAACAAATAATAATTTGTGCTTATTCTAGCTTTTTAAATATGTTTAAAAATAGCGATAGTTTATCTATACTGAGATTGCTTACAGGTATGCTTAGTGTACCTTGGACGTTTCTAGAGATCCATTCAAAGTACTTGAGATAACCTGGAAAATGTTTTGTTTTCCTATCTAGTGCGCCGAAGAAAATCGATCCAGTTATAATTCAATGTTATTGGAAATAGCTACTATCGTTATGTAGTGATTTCTTTAACGTCTGTCAATAATTTCTGTCCTAAGCAAAATTCACAAACCAACGAACAATATTGTTTACAGGTCAGTATAATCCTAGGTCATCGTAGATGTGCAATGTTGAATAGTACATGAGCCGTTACATTGCATCTGTAAGTGTTGGGATAGTAAGCATCAGCAGCAACGTTTCGTGCGCAGACCTCCTATTGGTTGATTTTAAATGATGTGCACGTATCCATCATGTATGCCAACATTTAACATATAACATCTTATTTACCATCAGATGCTTTTAGTAGCTCTACATCAGTGTGAACAACTAGTATATGCATTGCTTTGCTTATTTCGATCAGTTACTGGTTGCAATATTTCGCAGCTTTGTTAAAACTGAAACCATAAACATTGATACTCTTTTCCAACTTTACTTTTATATTGCGTTAATATGTTTTAATTTTAAAATGTAGAACAGAGATGTGAATAGCTAGGATACAACTAGTGTGTTAATGAGAAAACACTGACATTGGCTCACAATGCCACTTGCGGGTAAGTTGCTGGCAGTGAGCGGCGATCGCAAAACTGCTGGTTATTCTTTAGTTACTGTAGCAGAAAAATGCAGCAGTCAATACGTATCTGATAAATTGTTGAAGCAATGTTATTCAGCATCCCACCGCACTGTCTCTATTCGACTATCCCAATAATCAAAAGGCATAATTTCCACTGATAATTTCGGTCATTACTTTATGTGACGCAATGATCCGAGTTGCACGATCACAGATGCACGGACGCTGCGCAAACATAATTCGTGATAGTGCAGAAAGTGAACCTTGAGCAATGAATCTCCAACGCTTTAGAAGCGCTGCATTGCATGTAACTTTGAAACGGGTTGCGATATTTTCGTAAACGTTACAGCAGTAGGGTGCTTGCATTTGAGACATGGACTTATTATTTCGTTCACCGTAGCCTTATGATCCGTATAGATTCAAGGCATAAACACGCAAAGGTAAATAAACACAAAGTATATTCCAGGAATGGATGAAGTTTTATTACAAGGTAACAAAATGTAAATGACAAAGCACGTCTTCCAAAACGTCATGTATAAATGGGTAGTGACGGTGCAGTAATGGACGGTTACGGAAGAGCATTCCATGGGTGAGACAAGCACACGTAATAGCAATGCTTCGAGGATCCAGACCTACAATGATGCCTGATGTTGGGGCTGCTTTAATGCATTAAATTTGTATTTCCGCCATGGCTGACAGGCTTGGATTGCATGTTCGACATGAGGACGAATACAAGCACTATGCAGTTGCCGGAAAACAAAGCGACCTAATTTTTCGAAGGCTTGTAGTAAGGTGCCCACAGATTATCTACTGGTCTTGGAGGTTGTCGCAGATTGCTTCGAACAACCAAGAATTTCCTGAACATGTACGCAGTAACAACGTTCGGTGGAGGATCGCTACAGCCCACGCCATCCGAGCGTGTAAAAGTATTCACTTTGCTGTCGTAAGTAGGACAGTTTGCAATTACTCACATTGAATTGCATTGAATTTTGGATGGACAACTGAGGTATAGTGTTTACGTTATTCCGAAGCAGTCGGTCAGTATTTTCCCGAGCCTTCCGCTAAATACTGACATCCTCGGAAAACCGCCAAAAATTCAGGGACTTAGCACCGAGCCTTAAGGCCCTCAACATCTTACTAGTATGGAGTCACAGAAGGAGCTTCAACATGTATCCACAAATTGCCGCTAAAGGACATAGTAACAAATCTGGCGTAGTAAGTGCTCAACGGGTCCACATCATTGTAGCCTAGAAAGGAGTATTCTATGATCCAGGTCGTTTATTTCCGGAAAATTCAAGTAGATCACGTCAACCTTCTCCCCAGCATCAGCTGACTAGGTCTAGCTGCTCCTCGCTATTAGCAAATTTGTTGTTCACGTTAGATATTGGCGGAAGCCTTGCTTCCGAACAGCTCACCAGCGCATTAGCGGTGATGGTATCCATCAAATCAGGGAGTATAGGTAGAAAGTACTAGGCGATATGTTAAGCTCTTGGTTCTGCTTCCATAGCATGGCAGGAACCTTTTATAAGCAGCGCTGGAGGGACTGAGCCAGTGGCTCAGCCAGTTGACACGTTGCTGCTCCCAGTGCTTCTGGGTGAATAGTATTGACACCCGGGATGTTTGCTTGCGTAGGGTTGTCAATTGCTGCAAGACACCTTCGCTGATTAAGGATATGTGGCTGAGTCCTAGCGGCGGGGTAATAAATGCTGGAAATCTCTTGATTACAATACCCACTCGAAGGTGGGGGCATACGGCATGCACATCGTGTTTGCTGTTTCCGAAGCCTTTCGTGACGCACCATCAGCCGTCGCGAGTGGCGAAATCATTGTATCACCTAACGCAGACCGTTGTAGCGCTGGTACAGCCTTTTGTGATTGGTGCTGGAGGATATTGCTATGTTCTGCTGTTGCGCGGCTTTGTCCCCTCTGATAATTAAGTGCAGTTCTTTTGTTGGGAAACGTAGGTATCTTAGCTTTTTAATGTTAGGGATAATCTATACTCTGGCCACTCTGCTTTGTGCACTGCAAGCAATTGTTGGGCTCTGCTCCTTAAGTTAGTTAATGTTTCAGACCGTTTGCAAACTTTTGTCTCTGGTGCATCGGTAGCCAGCAGATTTAATTTGTTTACGACATCAAGCCAGGCAAAATCACTAAAACACCAAGGGTATTCTACGTGAAATACATCATATGATCCTGGTTGCTGAAAACGAGATCCAGCATAGGTCTGGTACCCAGTTTGAAAGGAGTGCGCATCATAGCATGATTGGATTGGAAAGGACCTAGTACTCTCTGAAAGGTGGGGTATTCCCATTTTGAGCATGTGTTCGAACTTTGCCCTAGCTTCAGTTTTTTCGGCGACGTCGGCGCAGACTTGATGTGGCTGATGGGCCGTTCGCTCGGACTTAGTGCATGACTGCAGATGCCACGGGAAGAAGTGCGTCCACTGGCTAGCGGAGCTTTTATTAATGAGAGCATAGGTCGGCGTACATAGGTGTGGGCTTTGGACGAACATAGACTAAGGTGATAGCTGCGATGCCGGCGTTAGTGCTGTGAACGCTGAACATCGTTGCGGAGACGACTCTCTTCATCCTTTTTGGCGCACATTAAGAGTACGAAATGTTCCAGGAAGTCTATGCCAATGATAGCAATTGGAACAGCCGCGACAATATACAACCATGGAACTATTGTAAGTAGGCCTCACCTAATGGTTAAGGAGCGATGATCGCTAATAGGGCTGAGTGTGCCGTTGGTAACATGAAGGCTGAGCGTGGCCAACTGAGTCATCTCTCCAGGTAAAGAAGGAACACCGCTTACTTTAACCCAAGTGTTAACCAGGAGCGTGGTTTCATACTTGCAGTACTGAACATAAAGGAGGCGACTACTTTCGGATGAGCCAGTGACGTCAGTCGTCTTTATTTCCCGGCCTGAGCGTTTCCTTTTTGAATCTAAAGATACATGCAATGTGTGGTACAAACTGTAGCCTGCGGACCGGAGCGTCTATGGCACCAGCAATACCAAGTACTACCCGTATGTGCGCTTCTGCCGGGTGATTTACCGCTTGAGCTGCATGCTGTATGTTTAGTTGGCTTATTACACGAGTCGTGGCTTAAAGCTCCTAGCTCTGCCATGACAGTTGTTAAATCTTGTGAGGCTGGGGTAGATGGGGTGGCGTACGTGCAGTAAAAGAGAGATGAGGTATCATTATTCCTTAGTGGTTGTGTCAAGGGTAGAGCGCCGCAGTTGAGCGGAGGATGAAGAGAATCTACTATTGTGTTGGCTGCCTGAGGGGCATCATTCGGTAAGTGCACACGAATGGCCTTCAGTATAATTTTAGATGTTTCCGGCAAAAGCTTTAACCAGTGTTTGCGCAGTAGTGATTCGTTCGTGGCTGATGTGCTGAGTATCTGTTACCTTTCACTTTAAAACTTAGACGGCTTATTAGCATTAAATTTTAGGCCATAGGATATTTGCTGCATGCGGTTCCGCTGAGAGTATGTGTCTCTGCTTATGATGGCCTGCTTATGATTGTCGTACCGCTGCTCTGAAACACCCTGTAGTAAGAGCCCCCTGAGTGGCAAAGTTACTGGGTAGACAAGGGAGTAGTTGGCTATACATTGATCATTTGGAGGTGATCCCATGGCGGCTGGCTTCCAACCTAAGCAATACAAACCAGAATGCATGTTCAGTTCCTACACGCGGCAAGGCTGTAATTTTAACGGTTTCAAAAGCGGGATTGGAAAGTTTAACGTCGAGCTGAAACAATATGAAAGTATACTATGTATTGCAAGTGGAAAAACTTAGACAAAACGACAGGGTTTGGTCTCCCCGGGATGCGGAATTCAA